TAGTAGTAGTATATATATATATATATATATATATATATATATATATATATATATATATATATATATATATATATATATTATTTATATATATATATATATATAGTAGCATTTTCCGTAGCATTTTTAATATCAATTTTATCAAGTGAATAACTGGTCTTAAAATCATAAATTTAAAATACTGCTGATTATATGAACACTTTCAACTGTTTGTGAAGGACAATGGATTATTTCTGTTGTTCTTTATTATAATAATTGGTTTGGTTAGATGGTTTTTTCAGATTGATCGCTCAAGATTGGAAGCCATGGCTGCGAAATATTTACAGTTAATCATATGTGCCAGTTGTGTACTAGTTTCTTGTAATCTTGCTGGAAAGGATGTAGCTCAAATTAAGGACTTCAAAACAACTTTGAAAAACGACGTAATCATTATTACTAATAATATCAATAAAAGGTTAACTTTAATATTCTCATTTTTGAAAATTTGATTTTTTAATTATCGAGATTTCAGCTTTAGTATATATAACTTCAAAACGTTTTAGTAACGTAACAGATCGTCTTGAAGCAGTGTCTGTTCTTTGTAATGACAGGATATCGAAATGTTGCAAAACACTAAACATCAATTGGAGTAAGGAAAGGGCTACTGAACTGAAGGAACAAATTTTGCAAATTAGGGATCACGCAAATCATGTTCGGAAGCTTATTCGTAAGTTTTGGTTCTGATTTTGTATTCTTGAACATCGTTTCAAATTCTGTGACCCCTGATTTCCCACTGCCCTTTGTATTTCTTGGCTAAAAGCTCATTATTCGATTTAAACAGTTTTTTGTTTTAGGCGATAGAATGCACAGCTTCATTTTTTCGATAACCTCAAATCGAGTATCGTCCTATCAGCAGCGATTTCCATCCGGTTTATCGATAGTATATGCAGAGCTTTCAGCCCTCACTGCACGTTTTGCGCGTATTGTAAATCATAATAGAGAAACATTCGGTCCATATTATGGGCAGTTAATTAAAAAACTGATGAATAACTAAATGCTTTCACTGGTAATAAAATAACATTATTACCTCATCTTTAAATTCCGGTGTTCATGTGTTTTTTCAGTTCTTGATAAATGGTCGTGAAAGTGTAGTACATTGATTCATTGTATGATTATTAAGAAATAGGTCAAGTATGTATGAATAAAGCAAATATTAAATATATTAGGAGATATATCCTAATTTACATGGAATATGATGTATATTTCTGAACTCATTTTAAAATAGAGAATACAGTGGTACTTTACTCCTACGTTATGCATGATAAAATCCATCTCTGTTGGTAGAATATTTTCTTTCTTTAGAATTTAGTTTGCATTTTTTTTTTCTCATTTAGCTCCCATAGAAGCTGAAATATCCTTTTCCCGATATAAGGCTCTAATTGTGTTTCGAATTGTAGAGAAGAGTTGAGTTATCAGCATGGGGATGTTGTACTCAAAAGAGTTCCTTTGAAGAGAGCAATATTATTTAAGAGAAGATCAGAGCTGTGAATGGTATCCTCTTGGGAGTACTGCGAGAGGAGTGAAATAATCAACTGACTAAACCATTCGGGGCATTCTTCAAATTTTTGATGTTACTAGGGGAGAATCCTGAAAAGCGATGGCGTTTTACTTTGCTCTTATGAATATTTCCAACGCTAGTCTTGATAATCCAACAAAACGTCGTTCATCATCCGTGTCACGAAATCACCAAATACAACGATCCAACCAGCGACGTTGCACATTCACTGCTTATGATGCTGACACTTTGTTCAAGTGAATACAGTTCCAATTATCATATAAAAATCTGCTGGAACTGAACAGTTTTGAGTTTCGAGCTTTGAATTTTTTGGTGGAAAAGGTTTATCCATAACGATAAAGGCATTTTGCCATACAATTCATCCCTTTTACTATTAACGACTTTTTAATATGATCGCTTTTTTGAAATCAGTTTATCTAAAAGACATATAGTCC